GATTTCTGTTTCCCCATTGGTCTCACAACAGCCAGGGAAGACAGGCCAAGTCAGGATTGTTTCTCCTAGTTGACATTTGAGAAAACTAAGATCTAGAGAAGTGACATAACTTGCCTAAGGTCACTTGAGTGTCTGGTGACAGAGCTGGGAATTAGACCCAAGGCTCCATTTCTGGGTCAGTGGTTCAATGGCACATGGTCTAAAGGCTGAGTTCTTTCCAGTTATGGCACCTTGCATACATGCTGTGACTGCAAAGAGCCTTCCCTTTCTTATCTGTACAAAGGGCAGAACAATGCTGCTTGCCTCACACGTACCTGGGAAGGGTTTGGTGCTTTGCCCAGAGTCTCCCACAGAGTAAGCATTCAACGAGTGAGAGCTATTGTTTTCATAAAGCCAAATTGTACACTCCTGTGCCTGACTGGGACATGCTACTGCTGCTGTGCAATGAGGAACGTGCAAAGGGTGTGTGGAAAGGCTGTGAGGCAGAGGGCCATGCTCCAACCCCAGGCAGGGCCAGAGCCTGGTTGCAGATGGCACTGGCCCCACTCTTCCTGATGCTCCCTATGGCTCCACAGCTCTCTGTTTCCGACTTTGTCACTCCTCTACTGACTGCGTAACATTTAAACAGTTTTGATGTTTCACAAACTGTTTTCCCTTCCCACCTCAGAGGTGATCACTATGACTGACATGGTGGGGTCCTTCCAGACTTCCTCTAGGTGTGTGTGTCTGTGTGTTTTCCCTTAAGGCGAACTGTGGCATTTTGTACTTGCCAAGTCACTTACATTCCAATTTCCTAAGTCTTGGAGTTTCTCTATGTCTGTCCTACTTCATTCTTTTCAGCTGATTTTTGGTATTTGATAGTATGGATCTGACAGAGTTTGTGTAATGGACATTTAAGTTGTACCCAATTATTAGTGTGATGAATGATACTATAATTAACATCTTTTTATCATGCATTTTGGGGCCCATGGGCCCAGATACTTCTCTGAGATAGAGTGATCCTTAGACATAGAACTTCTGGGCCAAGCAGTAAGTGCGTTCTCCATGGAATGTGTATGTGCGAGGACACTCCCAGTTTCAGACTCGAGGCTTTGAGAACATGGAACCACAGCAATGACTGAGATGGGCCTGTTACAGCACAGCCTGATGCTGCGCCTGGCCCAAAGCAGGGGAAAACAGTGCACAGACATTCACCTCAGCCCACAGTAGGGATGTCTAGAATTGATCTCCATTGACCATAGATTTGCAACTACAGGATGTAAAATTACTAAGCCACTGGCAGCTGACTACAAAACTTCATGGGAACCAAGGCACAGGCAGGGGAAATGGGAATGGAGGCGAGAATTCACCAAATATGCCTTGTTTCATAATTTTGGCTTAAAAAATTGTTGTAACTGTGACTTTAAAAGTCACATATGAATGCATTTTATTTCTTTTTCTTGTCTGATTGCTGTGGCTAAGACTTCTAGTACTATGTTGAATAGGAGTGGTAAAAGCAGGCACCCTTGCCTTGTTCCTGATCTTAGTGGGAAAGCTCTAATTTTTTGCCCATTGAGTATGATGTTGGCTGTAGGTCTGTCATATATGGGCTTTATTGTGCTGAGGAATGCTCCCTCTATTCCCACTTTGCTAAGTGTTTTTATCATGAATGGGTGCTGTACTTTGTCAAATGCTTATTCCTCATCTATCAATATAGTCACGTGATTTTTGTCTTTTGTTTTGTTTATGTGGTGTGTTATATTTATTGATTTGCGAATATTGTACCATTCTTGCAACCCTGGTATGAATCTCACTTGATCACAAAGACCCTCATTGCTATTTGCTGAAATAGTCTCTGCTAATGAATGCTTTACATAAAGTTGTAAGCTCCGCATCTTTATTGAAATTTTCTGAGGAAGATTTTCTTCCCTTTAATGTTCGCCACAACCATGTCGCTGCCTGTCCATTCACTGTTCAGATGGTTTTCCTTTCTGCCTGTTTGGGGGCACTGTTGTTCTGCCCATCCCTGGCCCCCTTTTGACTCAGGTGATTCCTGCAGGGGACTGAGTGTTAAAGTTCTTTGGCTTAATTGAGTGTAAGCTCCATTTCTCAGCACTAAAAATTAGTCCCTCCTGACAGGTAGCAAAAGGGTGCCACACCACATTCTGTCGGCACTGGAATAATATCTCCCCTGCTCTGGTGTGTGTGGGGGTGCTGCTCAGGATGTCTCTGTCCAATCAGTCCCCACCCACCGGGTTGTTAACACCATGAGGTCTCCCCAACAAACAGTAGCAGATGTTGGAGATTTACAGTATCTATGGAAGACAGTTTTCCCTTGAATTAGATATCATCCTCTGGGCTCCCACCAAGCCCCGTGCTTCCCTCTGAAATGTCACTCAACACCCTGTGCTATTTCTGCCCACGTCTGTCTCCCCACTAGACTGTGAACAAATTGAGGGCAGCATCTGCCCTGATATATCTCCACGTCTCTCCCTTCTACTGCATTGTCTGGCACCTTCCAAAGGCTTCTTAAATCAATGACCAAATGGGGAAGTTATATTCAGCAGCTTGATGCTTACTGTGAGTGTGAAAACCACCACAATCCACTCTACTCATGGGAAGACTTGGACCCAACACTGAGAACCAAAACAGCACATGTGCCCAATGGAGTGATGTCTTTTAAGAGTTTATTATGAAATATTATATTCATGTAGAACACAAACATATATAGCCTACGTATTTAATTGTAAAGCAGAAAGTTCACTGGAAAGCAAGCACCATGTCAAAATCATTCAGGGGAGAAGGAAACATGGACACCTCATAAGGCCCCCAGTGCCCTCCCTGCTAACAGCCCTCTCCCTGTTCTACAGAAATACCATGCTTCTGGTTCTTAATAACCATGTCTTCTGTTTTCTTCATCGTTTATGACATCTGCATGCATTGATATAAAACATAGTGTAGCCTTGTTAGTCTTCAAACTTTAGATAACTGGAATCTTGCTGTATATATCTATGTAGCTCCTGATATTTTTAGCTCAACATCATGTGAGATTCATCCATGTTGCTGCACTTGCATGTGACTTCTTCATACTTTATGGGTGTGTAGTGTTACATGTTAGGAACACTTCACAAATCAGAGAAATGCTGCTGTGCTGGATGACAGAGTGTGTGTGTCTTCAACATGATAAGGTAATGATAAAGTGTTTTCCAAAGTATTTGTACCAATGACGCTCCCACTGTCAGTGCATGGGCTCTGATGACTCGCATCCTTGCCAACCAAGTGCCATGAGACTTGGACGTTTTTTAGCCAATCTGATTGGTTTCTAGTGGTATCTAATTATTGTAATTTGTACCTCTCCTGTTACTAATGAGGTGAAACACTTTTTCCTGTATTTATTGGATGTTTGTTTATTCACTCCTGACTCTTTTGCTCGTTTTTCTAGTGTCTTGATTGCCTTTTGTTACTGAAGTGATTCTTTATACCTTCTGGCTATGAATCCTGAGTCCTTTAGTTGGTTATATGTATTCCAATAATGTCTTTTGCTCTGTGGCTTTGCTTTCCACTCTTCTTCCCTTCTCCCCCCACCCCTGACTCCCTCCCTCCTCCTGTCCCTCCCTCTTCCCCTCCGTCCCTCCCCTCCTCCTTCCTCTCCTCCTCCTCCCCTCCTCCCCCTCTTTATCCCCCCTCCTCCTCCTCCTCCTTCTTCTTCTTCTTCTTCTTCTTCATTTTGGTGTCTTTTGATGAACAGAAAGTCTACATTTTAAAGCAGGCAAACTTATACTTTCTTTTTCTTTAGGTTTAGAGCTTTTTTAAAAAAAATCTTGTTTAAGAAATATTTTCCACCCTCACCAGTGTGGCTCTGTTGGTTGGGTGTGATCCTGCATAGTGAAAGGTCACTGGTTTGATTCCTGGTCAGGGCACCTGCCTAGGTTACATGTTTGATCCCCTAGTTGGGAGTATATGAGAGGAAACTAATTGATCTTTCTCTTTCACATTGGTGTTTCTCTCTCTCTCTTCCTCCCTCCTTTCCCCTCTAAAAATAAATAAATAAATAGTTTAAAACAAACACACAAAGAGAAAATTTTCCATCCCAAGATTGAGACTTTAGTGTTCTATACACTTTTATAGCTTTGCCTTTCATATCTAGGTCTTTTTTAAAAAGGTTTCTAAATATTTCTTTATTTTTAGAGATGGGAGGGAGGAAGGGACAAAGAGAGGGAGAGAAACATCAGCGTGTGAGAAAAACATTGATTGGTTACCTCTCAGTATGCTCCCCAACTGAGAAACTAAACCTGCAGCCCAGGCCTGTGCCCTGACTGGGAATCAAACTGCCAACCTATCACTTTGCAGGACAATGTCCCACCAACTGAGCCACACCTGTCAGGGCTCATAGTTAGGTCATTTATTGAGATTGATTTTTATGTTCACTTGAGGAAACAGACAAATTTCATTTTTCCACATATGAATACTTGATAGACTAATACCATTTATTACATGTCCATCTTCCCCACTGATTGTAGTGTCATTTCTTTATATGTCAATTATGCATATATTTAAGGGTCTCTTACTTGGCTACTATTCTGTTTTATTAATCTGTGTGTCAATCTGTGTCTTAATAACTGACCTGTCTGTGTTCTCATCTTTATTACCATTTAGCCTTAATAATTTTGAAAAAGATATTTGGTACCTTTAAGTACATACTTCTTGTATCTTATCTGACATTTTAGGCAGTCTAATTGGTTTCTGGTGGTATCTATTTGTTGTTGTAATTTGTTCTTCTGTAACTAAAGAGGCTGCACACTTTCCTATATTTATTGGATATTTGTTTATTTGACACTTGTTAATCTTCCCATTGAAGGGTTGACTTCATAATCTTGCCTATCATTAATAGAAATGGAACTCCCAAAGGTATATTTTTGGCCCTGCTATGTAAGCCATTCTTTCTCTCAAAAAACATTTTGATGTCATTCTCTGTTTTTAGCACACTGGTATCTTGGGGATGGAATTAACAACATCTAAAGTCAAAGGTCCCCAGAATGCCCTGGGCCCTGGGGACATGCCATTTTGGTGATGGCTGCTTTGACATCCTTGTTCCTCAGTGTGTAGATGAGAGGGTTGAGGACAGGTGTGAGGATAGCATACACCACATTGCCCATGATGTGGAAGTCCAGGGGCAGGTCAGCCCTGTAAGACACATAGGATATGGCAATGGAGGAGTAGTAGGTGCCAACCACCAGGAGGTGGGAGCTGCAGGTGGAAAAGGCTTTTGAGCGTCCTTCCCGGGACCTGATGCGAAGCACCGAGGCCAGGATGAGGGCATAGGACAGAAGCACCAGGAGAAGGGGCAGAAAGGACACCACCATGGCAATGCAGAAGCCCATGAAGGTCTGGTGTATGGTGTCAGAGCAGGAGGCCTGGACCACAGCCAAGTGGTCACAGAAACAGTGGTAGACATGGGCCACAGAACCAAAAGCCATGTGAGATGTCTGCACCACTGCTGGGATTGGCAGGAGGAGGGCAGCAAGCCAGGCACTGGCTGCCAGGGCAGCATTGGTCTGTGGGGTCATGTGGACAGGATAGTGCAGTGGGCAGCAGATGGCCACATAGCGGTCATAGGCCATGACCACCAGGATGAAGGCTTCACAGCAGCCGAGACCATGGAAGAGATACATCTGCAGGAAGCAGGCAGAGAAGCTGAGGAAGCGATCCCCAAGTAACAGTAGGGACAGCATCTTGGGGACAATGGTTGTTGTTAAAAGGATGTCCAGAGCAGAGAGATTGATCAGGAAGAAGTACATGGGCTTGTGGAGGCTGGGCTCTGCCACCACAGCCACCAGGATCAGGGTGTTACCCACCAGGATAAGCAGGTAGAAGAACAGGAAGATGAAGAAGACAGGGAGGAAGAGGAACTCCTGTAGAGAAGGGATGCCCACCAGGTAGAAGATGGGTGAAGAGTCTCTTGATCCATTACAGGCTGTGGCATCCATGGTAGGACTGAACTGTGTGCCAGGGTGACAGGCAGCCAGAATATCTGGAAAATGCGGAGAAAACCAGAAGTTTGGAATAAGAATTCTGTACAGTTTAAATCACTTATGACCAATTTTAGAGAAATGGCACTACCCTGCAATGTAGATTCTTCCATCTTAACCCATGGCTCACTCCTCCCTTCTTCTATGGATCACTTAGCAAACACCTACACTGTGCAAGGCTGTGAGAAGGAAACAAGGCACTCATGGCTCCTGCCCTCACATGGCTGACATCCTACTGACAGGGTGGTGTGTGGAAAAGCCACCACAGCATTAATTATCTGGTGACAACTGTGCTAAGTGCATTGAAAAAACTTCTTTCTGCTTCTGTCTGTTCCATTATTGTTGGGCTCAGATCCTAGTTGAGCTCTTAAATCCCCACATTACTGTACTTAGGTGAGCTCTTAAATCCCCACATTACTGTAAGTTCCACTGAGTGACATCACTATCATCACATCACTAGGAAAGGCTGAGTTTTCCAAGGTTTTCTGTAACACACTGTATCTCAGTCCACTGATTGCCCAGGGAGAGCCTCCCCTCTCATTCTCCAGGTACAGAAGCTCTGCCTGCCTCTCTCCCTACTGAGCTCTCTGGGTGTGTGCCCACTCAGGTTTCAGCAGTGGGAGGGACAAATGCCTTCTTGTAGGACAGTTCTCTCCTCCATGGAGCCCAAGCTGCTGGGGCATCTTCCCACCACTTGGGGTGCATCCTGGGTCTGTGATCTGCCTTCCTCCTGGCTGCTACAGCCTAGTGGGTGTTGTGTTTAGTTCTTTTATGCCCAGCCTGCTCTTGGCTCCTCACTACCAACTCACAAGAAGCCACAGGGAGCTATCATGAGAGCCTTGTTGTTAGGAGGGACCCAGAGACCTGAAAGCTGTGGCTTTCCAAAGAAAAACGCACTCTAAAATGGGACTGGGCTGGGGTCAACAGTGGGATAGTTGGACCAGAGCTGAGGCATTACTGGCTGGTTCCCACTTCAGAAGGGCTCTGAGGAGTGGTCTGGACAGCCTCCCATCTATGTCTGCATCAGTGCTATTTGAGCCCGTGATTCCACAGGCAGTTTCCCTTTGAATTCCTTAAAACTACACCATCCTTCTTTCTTTTCTAAACAAATGAACAGAAACCACCTCTCATGTCCTAGAATCATACTCTGTCAGAATTGGAAAAAATGATTTTTAAAAAAATCTTTAATTGTACCACAATTCTTCTCCCAACCCCACTTGCCCACCATCTTTTAAGTCTTTCCTGGTCTGCTCTGATATTGATCTGGATTGTGCAGTCTGGCTTCTGGATTTGGAAGTGGTGAGTGGCCAATGCTTTATCTAAAATGAGCATAGGAGAGGTAGCCAACCTGCATGTGTGTTCCTTGAAAGAAAACATCAGATGTCGCTCCACCCCTGACCTAGGCAATCAGGTAAACCTGATTGTCTCCACTTTAGACAGTTATCCTTCATTCACCAGAACCCTATTCCAACAAGTTTGGCCACCAGGTTTTTTCTCACACCTCAAGGAATGCAAAGTGCACTTCCCTGGACATGTCTGCTCCCAGAGAGGCAGTCATGGTTCCCGATGAGAGTAGAAACAAGGGCCAAAGCCAGAAGGGTCCTACAGGGCCATCAAGCTGAGCTGCCCCTCTCCCGCCCCCTCTGTCCCACTGCTTTGCAGATGGAGGTAAGGGAGCTGAGACCCTGCTGGAGAGGTGGCACATGCTTTTCACTGCCAGGTGGTACTGGACTACCCAACAGGTAGACCAGGCATGTGCTGGGTCACCACAAGGCAGGGCACCAAAATCACTTCCTGCAAGAATTTCACATTTCCTATTTCAAAGCACCATTGAACTCGATAACAGGAAATATCTGAATTTGGCTGGATTTTCTTATACTTATTTTATAGTTTAGGGTTCTTGTTTTCTTTGAATCACATCTGAATGACAGTCTGGGCCCCTGACCCCGGTTTTACATCCTTCTTCCCACAACTTGACCCTGTCTCACCACTCTGGTCTTTGCTGAGATTTGGCATTTTTACCCCCAGTTTACCCACCTGCCAAGCATCATCCACCTAGGTGCCTCCTGTGGTGTCCCCTTTGTGTCTTATAACCTGGCCTCCTCAAGCAGAACCCGGCAAGTGGTCTATTAAACCTTCTAACCTCTCTCTTTAGCCAGGTCTGCTGGGACCCTCTCCCTCAATATGGGACTCCTTGGGGCACTGTGGTCCCTCTGCCCTTACCCAACATCAACTTCTTGGCCCTTCCTAGAGTATGTGTTGACAGGGGATTTCCCTCTGGGACCTGCTAATAATGAGAACAGCATTGGTAACAAGCCTCAGGGGTTCCAGAATTTACAATGCACAGGACAATTTTATTGACATTACTTCCTCTGGCCCTCAGAACAGCCAGGGGAGACAGCAGCCCAAGAGGAGGAAAGTGAAGTCCAGAGAGTGAAAGGACTTAACCAGTGCTGATACTGATGTTTAGTATCAGAGCTGTAAGCCAGACCCAGGGCTTTATTCCCAGACCTGTGCTCGCAGTATTTCATGTGGGTAAGGGCCTGGGGCCTAAAGTAGAAAGTTCTAGATCTGAATACCAGTTTCAACATGTTTTATCTATGTCACCTTAGGTAATATACTTAGGCTCTTTGAGTCTGAGTTCCTCCACTTGTAAAAGGGAACATAATATTACGTATCTCAGAGAGTGTTTGAGGGGATTTAATGAGATAAAGGATATAGGGTACTTGGAGTGAAACATATATTTTGAAAATTGGTCCAGGAGTTTTGTTTGTATTGCCTGCTGAGAGCCGGAGGACAGCCTTCCTGCTTATATTCAATTTCCCCAGGGACTGTGAGCATCTGTCTCCTGCAAGAGAAGATGCAACTTTCATGGGTTCTCATGGTCTCTAGATGCTGAAAGTTGGCTTCACCAGGAACTACAGGCAACAGTTGGCACCTAAGCTTAGACTGCTTATTATCCAATAGTCGATTTGTTCTGCTCATAAAGCTACTCTCTTGCTCCTTTCCCCCAAAGGGGGATCAATAGGGTCAGTGCCATTGTACCTACATCTTAGGATGTGTGTGTGAGCTGTTAGCAGCCAGTGCTCTGTTGTTGGGGAGACAGGCCACCGATTGTATCCACTACAGTCTACCCCTCGAACCTCTCAAATGCATCTGCTCATCACAAGAAGTTTACTCCTTTTGGACATGGGGTTTCCACAAATTGAAGGGAAATCTCTAAAGGAAGGATTAATGGGATTAACTATTGCTGCTGCGACTGTAGACAGCCCCCAGGATGCACGTGATCAGCATCGTCTCCATCACCACCCATTCCAGTCCCTTCTCCTTGGCTTCACATCCAGTCACTTTAGTTGGTCTAGATCAGCAGTTTTCAATCTTTTTCACCTCATGGCACACATAAAGTAATTATTGAAATTCTGTGGCACATCAAAAAACTTATTATATTTTTTGCCAAGCTGACAAAAAAAAGTAGGTATAATTTTGATTCATTCCCACCAGACGGCTATTGTTGCATTGGCTGTTGTCATTTTTTAGTTTGACAGTCTAAGGGAAAAGAGGTCATGTCTGTGACTACATGGTCAGGTATAGCATGTTTTAAAAATTCTTAGAGCACACTGGTTGCAAATCACTGGTCTAGATGGATTCCCTTCTAACATACCCACACCCTCACCCCTGATAGTCCTGGGCCCCTGGTTACTATGCCTTGTCAGAATAAGTTTGCTTTAATTGCCCATTTATAGTTAAATTTGGTCACGGTAGAAACAAGAAGTGTTCCAATGCCTGAATGCCAATATCCAAGCCCCCATTATGGATGAATAGTCTTACTTTCTCTTGAAGATCAGGGTCAATTACCCTTGTAAATATGGTAACTCCTTTTTTTGACTGCTGGTCTACTTGCACAGTGGGCTTAAAATGACCAGGCAGCAGTTGTAACTTTAAATTTAGTGAGATGTATTGTATCTCCTGTGGAATCAAAACTGCTTAATCCACAAAGGTTAAAGTCAGTGGGACTGAATCACAGTTCCACCAAATGGGTCACCGTGGGTAATGGTGAATGAAGCCACTCTAACTTCTGCCCAGTGGTTCTTGGCAAGAAGCATCCCTTTTTAATATGCAATCATGCTACAAATGGATCATTCCCATTGGACATGAACATGAACCTCATTAGCATTCTCTGACTGGAGCAGCTAGTGGTTTTCTTATGCAACCTTTTCAAGCCTCCTACACACCCACAACTAAATTGCTGATATGTGAGTACTTGCTAACAAACAAGTGATACCAATTCCAAAATTATAAGAACTTACTGGAAAAATATTGACATTGAATTAAATGCTAACTTCTTGGCTCCCACAACCCCCTTCTCTTCTCTCTGTCCTATCACCTTCTCATATTATTTCTCCAGGTCTGACTCCCCCACTAGGTTATCAATACCTTGAGGGTAGCAACTATGTCTGGTTTATGTCTGTCTCCAGCATGTGGTAAACATTATTTATAAATAATCTCATGATCTACCTTTTATTTTTCACATCAACAGTTATTTTTAGCATCAGTGGGAAGCCTTCTTGGTCCAGCATTTAAGGGCCAGGTTTTAGCTGTCTGTTCAACTGAGTGAAGCCAATTTAAGCAACTGTAATACATTTAAACATATTTATTGTGTTTCTGTTTGGTGCTAGGCATTGTCATTGGTGTCTGGGGAGCTGGTTTAGTTGCATCTAAAGATTAAGGCCCAGAATACCCTGAGTCCCAAGGACATGCCATTTTGGTGATGGCTGCTTTGACATCCTTGTTCCTCAGCATGTAGATGAGAGGACTGAGAGCAGGTATGAGAATGGTGAACCACACATTTCCCATGACATGGAAGTCCAGGGTCAGGTCAGCCCTATAGGCCACATAGGCTATGGCGATGGAAGAGTAGCAGGGGCCAACCACCAGAAGGTGGAGAAGGCTTTAGAGCA